AACCAGTGGTTCAGTGGAAAACTGAAGCCAATGTTGTTTAATCAAGCAGAAAATCCCGGAGCATTGAAATGAAAAGATAAAGAACTGCTTCTAGTCATTTGAAAGTCAGATGAAAAAGCGTGGAATTAATGCAGTACGTTAATATTTGAAGATTGGTTGGTTCACTTTTTATTTCTTCTCTACAGTTAAACAGTATTTTAAAGACAAAAATTTACGATTATAAGCATTATTAATTTTAGACAACGCTCCAGACACCCAAAATCTCCGCAAAATTTATACTCGGAAATCAGTGTTGTGTTTCTTGCTCCCAATATTACCTGCCTCATACAGCCCATGTATCAAACAGTAATAGCTACGTTTAAACGGTATTATGTGAGATTAGTAATGTATCAAGCCTTAAGACAACTGGCTGGGAAGGTGAGCTTACATTAAGAGATAAGAACTACAATATACTAGACGCAATAAATAATATTGGAGACTCATGGGCTGAAATAAAAAAGTCAATATTGAAAGATTCCTGGAAACAATTATGCCCGCAAATGACGAGTAGTTTTATAAATGCTGAAGAATCTCCGGAAACTGACACAGAAGAAATAGATGATGAACTAATTAATATGATGAATGAACTAATAACTAATAAATGAACTAAAACTGGACGTTAGCAATGATGATAATGAGTTAATTGAATCTTGGTCGGTACCTTTGTAAAATGAATACGAGTTGAGCAACAAAAGTTAAAAATAGTACACAGTGAAAGTGAGGAAGAAGAAACTTTAAAATCTTTATGCATCTTGAAAAATTTTGACTACCATGGAAAAAATGTGATCCCAATGGAGAATGTATATTTTCAAGTCTGTAGGACGATCAAGAAGGACACGGTATATTATAGATCTCTTTATCAAGAAAAGAAAAAAAAAGGGGGGGGGGAATTATTCAAGTAATTCTTGACATGTTAAAAATCTCACTTAAACAGCGCTTAAACACGGCTCGTTAACTTAATTGCGCATTTCGATAAATAAATACTATTAAAATACAATATTTTTACGTTTAAACAGTAGCATTTGCACACATTTTCGGGAACCAGTTATATGAGAAAGTCGAGGCTCATTTGTGTACTTTCTTCACTAGCTCATTTCGATTCTTGTAAAACCATTCTAAACACGATAATTCTATCTTTTTAGTTATTTAATTCAATAAGCAAAGAAATAATAGAATGACACATTTAAACAACTTTTTATGGACAATAAATACTTATTTTTAAAACAAGAGGCAAGGACAACAGATTTAATTTAAAGGTGGACAATAATCAGTGTTGGCACATAATATCTTTCTATAACAGATTGTTTTGTGAGTATTGTCTTATAACGGACGCGACATCATCAACTTCAAATTTAAATCTTAAAATGTAATGCAGTGAAGCACATCTGTGAAATTAGTTTAAAAATTCTACTTTTAATTTGAGTAATAAACATTTTAAGCTTTAGTTTAAAATCAGAGGAGAGAATTCTTAATAGATTAGATGTCTTAATGGATTTAGTTGAATAAATACTGAATTTTTCAACCAATAGGTTATAGAGTTTATTACGAAATCATACTACTAATACTGACGAACGAGTCAAACGAAATGTTGCAACTGAACTCGGAATGGAAATTTCGTTGTTTCCTTTACTATTGTTTTCTTTGATCGCTTCACTGCGTCACGGTGACGAAGCATTACATGTTATTCTCCTTGCCATCAAACTGTTATAAAATTTACACAAGTATTGTCATTGGCATGTTGTTCCTTTTTTCCTTACTTTGGGTGATAAATAATATACTTCGACCTGCTTATCAGAGGTCTATTGCTTATTATTGGAAATGGAAAACTGTGAACTACGTAATGTATGAAAATGGGCAATTGTTATCTCCTGAGCAAAGCTTGATTTAAAACGATATTTGTTGCTGAGTCACCGATTCTATCATCAAGTTTTATTGAAGTGAAAGAAGCAGTATTTCGTGATCATGAAAGTAATAGGAGTGACCATAGATGATATACTGTCAGCCACAAAAGTGCACAGGCGCAGTGCAATAAACAGGTATTGAAGAAACAATAAAATAGAGAAATGTAGTTTAGACATTGCATATTTCTTCAAGAAGAACTAATCATTAAAAATTATCCGAAAAGGATTTACTTTGGTTTAGTTAAATATAGCAAAGCACACTAGGGCTTATCAAAACAGGACGTAGTTCAGCAGCAAAAATAAAGCTAAACATCTACATATAGGTACTATCTCAAACATCTACATATACAGTTAGTCAATAAAGTCTGCGTACATCAAGAAAAGTAATATCAAATCCAAATTTTAAGGTGCGAAAAGGGTAGTTTCTTAAAGTTTTATTTTTTAAATATTTAGTTTTAATAAGGGACTTTGAAATTATTTAACTGTAATATTTTCATATCTAATAATTTATGCACACTAATTTTTAAAAGATAAGTGGCCAGAAATCAAAGCCAGTAAAGTTTGCGTACAACGCGAAGGAGGCGGGGGATTTCTTATTTAACTTTTAAACTTCAAATTTGAGACTGCAAAGAAGGTTACACTTTCAAGGTCATTGACTTCCGAAGCAAATTTCACGTTGATTGGAAGTTGCTATTTCTATTTTCTTTGACGAAAATGACAACCAATAAATAAATTCCTTTAGTTACGAGACAACTAATTATCAAATTGAGAGATGAAGGTAAAACTCTTCGTTATATTGGTAAAACCATTGGAAAACCATTTCCTAGTGTGCAAAGAGTTATTCAAAACTATCTTGACACTGGTAGTCTTACTGTAAAACCAAGATGTGGGAGACCGAAGAAGCTAACGCAAAGATAAGAAAGAAAAATTCTTTTAAGAATTAAACAAAATCCTAAACTTTCTGCTGCAAGCATTGCAAAAGACATTTTTTTAACTAGCAACAAGGAAATTTCTCCTGAAACTGTACGAAAAGTGCTGCGAAAGTCCGATTATCATGGACGCAAACCTAGGTCTAAGCCATACATTTCCGAGACAAATAGAAAGAAAAGAATTGCTTTTGCCAAAACATATTTAAACTCTTCGCAGGACTTCTGGAACAATGTAATTTGGTCAGATGAAAGTAAATTTACAATATTTAAAGTTAATGGTCACCCTATTGTATGGAAAAAACCAGGAACAGAACTGAAAATGAGAAATTTAAATCCAACTGTCAAACATGGAGTTGGCGGTGTGATGATATGGGGGTGTATGTCGTCGAAAGGAGTTGGAAATTTTCACATTAGTGATAAAGTCATGGATAAGTATGTTTATCTGGATATTCTGAAGAAAAATCTACGAGACAGTGCCGGAAATTTAAACCTTTCTAATACCTTTATTTTCCAAGAAGACAACGACCCGAAACATACAGCTAAAATTGTGAAGGAATATCTCCTCTATCACACTCCAAGACAGTTGCGTACTCCTCCACAGTCACCAGACCTCAATCCAATCGAACATTTGTGGGCAAAATTGAAAAAATGAATTCGAAAATACAATATTACTTCGCGAAATAAGGTAATTAGTAAATTGCAGGAAGAATGGGCGAAATTTACGTCGGATGACACTGAAAAACTAGTTTAGTCAATGCCCAGACGTCTGTAAGCTGTTTTGAAGAATCTGAGTTTTTTTGACAAAATATATTTTTGGAAAAATGTAAAAAGTATTACACTGATATTATTTACTTTTTATTTAAGCTTACAATTTTAGCTAATAGAAGAAAAAAAATGCAATGATTAAAATACATTTTTCTATGCTTTAACTGTTTTTTTAATTTAAAATTTAGTCTGTACGCAGACTTGTGTGACTAACTGTAGGTCATGCGGGGGGGGCGGAGGATTATAATTGTAAAATTCTAAACGATGCTAGTATTTTGTAAGACCATTTGGTTTTACTATCTGCTATAAATTTTATATACTAAAAAAATAAAACCCTCACTAAATTTCTTATTTCGTTCTAAGCCTTATTTCCTTACACTTAAGGAGATTTTCTAGAAATTTAATTTGCTAAGTTAACATGACCAAGGCAAATCCATTGAAGTCGGACACTACACTGACGTGTACGCAAAATTTAAAATTTCTTCGGCAAATAGCTTTCTCACCTAAACATCTTGCCGAATTTCAAAGGTTGCCAAGGTATAGTGGTCATTAAAACAAATTTTAATTTTAAAATATTGCAAAAATTAAAGCTTTTGACTATTTCTTGGCAAAGGATTAGATTGTTTATAGTAGGGGAAACACTCGAGGGTACTGTCTAAGAGGAGAGACACTTATCGTAATTCCCTTTTTAATGGAAATTAACTTTTGTTTATGTTAAAAGATGGAAAAAAATCAAAAAGCTTCCCATGCAGCCAGTCATTAAGATTCGAGCCCAGGTCGAATTGTCAGTATTTAATGGTTTTACTTCACGACCGCTGACTGGCATTAAATCTTGATAAAGCTTCCAGAATAGCAGTATCCATCAATGGCTGAATGGTTAAAACTGCTGAAATGTGTGTGTGTGTGTGTGATTATGGCAAAATCTCGAGGACTATCTGCCTAAGGGGAGGGGTGCCTTCATGGAGGACTTCATGGGAAACTGGCTCGTATACACGTTACACATGGGGAAAACCACGAAAACGCCCATGCAGGCAGCCCGTTCGCGGCATTCGAACCTCGGACCGAACTACCAGTGTTCAGCGACTTTACCGCTCGGCCGCTAAAACGGCTGAAAACTTTAAGTTCTACGGAAAAGACTAGTTTGCCTGGGTATTTTCCTGATTCTTTCTATGTATACAAGATGATTATGAGTCAGTTTTCACTAGAATGTCTTCTACGAAAGCGTTTTTGTCATTGCATGTTTTGACGTAACTGATCAAACGAGCGAACGAACTTCCACAATGTATATCATCTAAAAGCTAAGGGAATTTAGAAGAAGAATTTTGCTGTTAAATCATACATGATAGTATTTTCATTTCCCATACAGGTATATTCGAGAAAATTTTGACTGCTTGCTGTGGCAGATCTCAACTTGCTTGGATAAGACAGAACAAGTCGACAATGGAGATTACCTACTAAGATCTTGGCGTTATTTATCAACTTTCTGCGAATCTCAAGGGAGTAAGTAAAACAAAATTTAATATTAATTTACTTACATGTATTTATATTATTCCTCACTAACACATACTAGTCAATAAACGAGTATTTAAAAATATATAAATATTGCCTATTGTACTTGTTGCTTTGTCTTGTGAAGTTTCACTCATCATTGTACTAAGTAAAGTCACTGGGATTTAAAAAAAAAAAAAAAAATGGAGTGTCTTCTATAAATATCGGAAGTAAAGCTTTTTCTTGAGTTGATCACTTTTTTTATTTTTAATTTCCCATTATCACAGATTCCTATGACAATTGTAAACCCCTTACTGAAACTTTCTTCGTATGGACGGAATCAGGTTTCTACACTTTTCTCTCTATTTTAGATAATAAAAAGATCTCTTTCTTGGGGGAGGAGAGTCATTTAAATTAAGTAAACTCATGCTTCGTCCAGGATCACGATGTATTTCGATTTATCTGCTGCTAAACAGTTTTCATACAGGGTTTCACATATTGTTCTGCGTTGAGCTATATGACTCGGCAAATGCTGGTGAACATTACATTCTTTAGAAATATTAGAATCAACTTTCCAAACATTAGTAGCATTTTTCGGTATTCATTTGGGTATTCCTTGTAATGTATGTATAATTAAGAATAATGATTGACGGTTTTTCCCTTTCCGATTAAGAATGTTGCTTATTTTGCGCTTAGAAATTTCAATACTACGCATTTAATTATGGAACAGGAATATTTCTCCTCGGAAAGCGCAAAAACATATCCTTCGACCCAGAGCTTATTTACATGCGACATTTTGAAAAAAGAATAAATTTAAAAATAGCAGACGATATTTTTTATTTCAAATAATAGCTGTTGTCAGAAATTTTTATTTCAAAACATTTGCATTTAATTTTTTTTTTTTTTTTTTTTTTTTTTTTTTTTTTATCGAAAACGTTTTAAAAATGTGTTACACACTCGGTATTATTGGATAAAACTTTTCAGTTTTATCGTTACTGTTATATAAGCTCGAGCGCCATTAGCATTATATAAGAATCATATGACAAGGATGCTACTTTTGGAAATGCTTTACTTATTGAAAGATTTGTTAGACGTATTTCATTATGTTTAGAAATAAAAAGGTGATAATTAAATTAACAAAAGAAGATCTTAGAAAATTACAAATCCAATTTTAATGTTACAAATTAAAATTGGAAATGTTATCTTGCATATTTGATACATAATATTAATTATTTAAAATTTAGTTTTAATCAGGAATTTGTCAAAAATACAAGACCCCATGCCGATTGTTATAAAGACCTCAATTGAGGTATTTCAAAAATCCAAATGAGCATCCAAATGAAAAATTTAAAAGGCTAACCGAGGAAATTTTATAAATATTATATTTTCTGTTCACTTTATTTGAATACTTTATTTAAAACGAGACAAAAATTGGTTTAGAGCAAGCCTTATATATCATTTTTAATCTGAAAGTGCAAGATAGAATAATTAGAAATTTGATTCAGAATATACATAGTGTATATACAAAGTTTTAGGAATAAGCTTATAAGATCAAAAACTGGGGGGGGGGATTCTAATTTTTTAGCTTTTAAATATACATTCTTGATTCTACCCTATAAATCACCTTTTCAAATACTGTTCAAGTCTTGCGTTTTCTGAATCTCTTAGTGCTGTTGTAATAATAACCTCTGAGACCAGAATCCGCTTTAGAGAAAAGAAACTAGCCAAATATGGTGAATAAGGAAGATAACTGAGAACTGTGACACTTCTCTTTGCCGAAACTACTTAACTAAAATGGAATTTTGTGGCGATACATTATCATGCAACATAAACTATAGTTTGTTACCTTAAAATAGGCCCTTCAAAGCCGCTGTCAGCACCTCTCCCATTTGCGTTTGTAACTCTTGTCGTCATATAACGACTTAACATTTGTTTTCTCCACGTCACTTGAGACTGTAGTTGAAGTCAAAGCTTCATTCGCGTACCTTTCATGAAGTGAAACATGCTAAATAGAAATGAAATGGTCAAAAATTTAAGCGAACTCGACCTTTTTTCAGCAGCTGTTGTTCCCACGGTTACGAGTCAAAGTGGGCTGATGTCTATGATTACAGTATGTCGATTGAGCATTTTCAGGCTTAATATGTTGAATTAACTTCAGAAGCCTATCCACTAGGTTATTCTTTTTTAAATCATGGAGTTCATTATCTCCCTCTGAGGAAAAGTTCCTTGTGAATTATCCTTTTACAGTGGAAAAAGATCATTAGCGTACTCTTTACTCGAGATTTCAGAAAACGAAATTTCTGCGAAACTTTCTCGAACAGCAGTCCCTATTCCCTAGCAGGTGACTGTCATTTTGTCTCGGCATCCTAAGCAAAGCATTGAGTAGCATATCCAGTCACAATCTGTTTGAAAAGCTTTGCTAATTTTCCTTCTTTGCAGCAAAATTCTATTACTATTCTTTGCTCAACTTTCGATCAACGATGACAGATAAAACTATTAACTTCACAGAAAATTCTGCAAGTAAACGATATTTTAAGAAAACTGATTGAATGTCAGAGTAATAAATGCTAACGTAATATCGGCTGGCCGATTTGCCGACATTTTTTTAAAAGATTAGTCCTAAAATTTTGTAAAGTACTATGTATTCTTGTGTGTGAAAAAGTAAACTGCATACTGTTACACAGTTATAAAATGAGTATAAACAAAACAAAGAATATAAAAGATAATTAAATTGTAGCTAAGTTTTAAAACAGATCTACTTAAATTAAGAAAATTTGCTTGAAACTCTTAAAAAAATAAATAAATAACACGACGTTGTAGAATAGCACCCTTTTGTTCTTGAAAATTTCTCAATCAAAAAAAACCTCAGCTTGCATATCGTAGAATGGTTTAGAAGGGCAGCTGAAAGCTGAATAGCGTTGCGTTATTTTCAAGGCTAACTGAAAGTGTTGTTTAACCTTGCCATTGAAAACTTCCGCTTTTTTATGCAATATTTTTCATTTTCTACCCAGCTGGGACTCCAAATTACTTTCGCTTTTCAAACTCGCTTTGGGCGTGTCTATCACAATTTTTGATTTTTGTAAGGTCAAGGGCGGACCTCTGACTTCTAACATGAGGCATCTGATCTGAATTATCTTATTTTCATGTTTTTACGACTTGAAGTAGATTATTCTAATGTAAAATGGGTATGATAGGTAAGAAAAAAAATGGGAGTTAGAGGAAATAAAATGTGATAAACATAGAAAGATTATAACTGAGCCAAATAAAATTATTGAAATTTATCTGATTTGATCTTATGAAATTTATCTGAAGATTTATGATTATTGAAATTTATCTGAAGTAAAAGACAGTCTCTTCATTTAATATTTATCATAACACTCCCAAAGGGAATCGATTCGTTCCGAAAATCTTCCTTGTGTTTTAATTATCCTTCTACTGAACAATGAGACTTGAGGATCCTAAATATTAGAAAGATTTTTAAATGTTTAAAATTGAGCAAAAAGCAATTTTAAACTGGAGCAGATTTTGAATAAAACTATCAATTTCAAAGGCGATTATACATAAGTCCTTCTTTGTTAAAGCGAAACATTTTTGCAAAGGTGGGAGAAGCGAAAGAAAAGCAATGGGTAGAGCAAAGCGAAAACGAACGCAGTGCCATCTGTGGAAGAAAATAGTAATGAACCATTGAAAAGCTAAGCTATTAGAATCCTCCCCCCCACAAGCATTTATAAGATTTGGCGGGGGAACTAATGTTCCCTGAAAAAGGTAAAGTTTTTTTTTAAGGAATTGACCTTCAAGGAAATCCAGTCCACTAAATGAAGAATTTTTATTCATTATTTCCTAAATATCAAAGCCGAAATTTGATTTGCACCCAAGTATTATTTATTTCTTCTTTCCGAATGTGTGTAAAATAAGTGTTTCTTGTTGCTCAAATTTTAACTCTTTTTTAGTTTGGTAGGTATACGTAAAACCACACAGACCAGATATGCTATAAATTCCCCAATAATTAAAATAGATACGTGGTTTCTGAATAGAACAACGAATTTTACTGATAGGTGAGAAAATGACCTGGAAGTTCCAAGACTTCAGAGTAAAAGCGAGTTTCGAACTGGTAGAAAAATAACATGGTAGGACGATAAGGTAGTTATGGTTATTTCTAATAGCAGAATTTTTTTTATAAAAGCTAATGATAGCGGAAGAAAGTTATAAAAAGGTTATAAATTTATAAAAGCTTTTTATAGCGAAAGGCAATGCCGATCGGTTTTAAATAACTGAATTCCTGAAAAGCACAGATTGAAGAGCAAACATTTAGAACGCGATATCCGTAACAATAAAAAGAAGCCCCCCCCCTTTTTTTTTTTTTTCTGGAAAGCAAAGGAGTAGAAAAAAAATTACATGATTTTAAAAGGTGTTTTTGGTTAGGTTGATGAGCTTCGTGATACTGCGGCTAAGTACTACTGTTTATGAAATAGTTTCTGAAGTTAACGCCACTCCGAGTGAGGGTAACATTCGTATTCTTTTAATTATTATCATCATCTCTTAGCGAATTACATATATTTGCAGGTTTTATTCTGTAGTTATTTATCTTCTTGATGTTTACATATAAGGTATTTCTCCAGCCTTCGTAGTGTAGTGGTCAGCACTCTTCACGCGTATTCCAGAGGTCCGTGGTTCGATTCCCGGCGAAGGCGTTGTTTATTTTTCATCTCTCCTGCTGGCGAAATTACCTAATGTCTCTACACTGGCGCCCGAATTAAAAAGGGTGGTGGATGATGATTCTCCACACCTAGGATTTAGCGTTTGGGTCCCCTAAACTCCAGTCGCCCTTTAAAAGGGGGAGTATTATAAGTCGTAGTGTAATGGTCAGTACGCTGGGCGCGTATTCCAGAGGTCCGTGGCTCGATATCCGTCGAAGGCGTTGCTCATTTTTCATTTCTCCTTCTGTCGAAATAACCTAATGTCTCTACAGACATACCTATTAGATCAGGCCAATGACTTATTGATGCCTAAAAGAGCACTGTCATTGGACAAGGCTTTGAGCTACTTATACGTTAAAATACAAATTTGCCTAGTTCAGTTGCAATTTTGAAGGAGAACGGAATCCAAGGGTCTCCTACTTCTTTTCCTCTACCACTAGAGTCTTAAGAAGATTTCCAGATCATCGATAAATTTAAGTGTCCTGACATCGCAAAAACACTACACATTTGCACATATATATGCATCATCTCTAGGATTCGAAACTGCATCCAACGATTCAGCAGTTAATCAGATTTTGACTACCATACTAATCTGGACTACTTTGAGGTTGCAATCATGCTAAAAAATTCTGCCTTTTATTCAGAGATTAAGACAAACTTGCAATTTTATTGTTGTAGAAAAAAGGCTGGTTCTACTATGCTTGAGTTTTTTTCGAGACTGGTTTTTAATAGCAAATGTATAATTATAGAATTGCTATGCATTAAGTTTCAGAAGTTTCGCAGATATTTAGATTAACACTATTAATGTTGTTGATTTGGAATGCTATTAAGGAAAATATCCATCATTATTGTACACAGTTTGATTTACTTTGATAGCATAAGCTAGTATGAAAGTCCTAACAGACGTAGAGCTAATTATTGTTGGTCTGAAGTAACAACAGAGTCTTGGAAAAGTTTAAACAACGTTTTTATTAAAACAGAATTGAAAAAAAAAAAAAAAAAAAATGCACGTCTCGTGCTTTACAAGATCAGCCACCACTTGTGGTGATGTAACTTAAAGTAAGTGGCAATTTCAAAAGTTAAACTAAGTCTAGTAGTCAAAGACTACAGAACTGATTTAAAACGAAGTTTGCTCGAAATTCGTCACCGGCGTAACAATTTGAATGTCAGCAGTAATAACACAAAGCCAAAGATTTAAATCTTATCAGAGCTGGAAAAACATAGTAATGTGGCCTCGATAAGCAGAAACATACTCTGTCTTACAATTCGAAAACCTCAGTTTAAAGACTTTCTATATGATTTGCGTTCTGGTGAAGAAACGGAAAAGAGAATTTATATTAAAAGTTGTAAATAATCAGTAATTATAATAAATTTAGATCATAAATAACTGGTTAATTAAAATAATAATAACCTTAAAAATTGTCGTAATAAATTTTTTGAATATTTAATTTTTACATCCACTAGGAATAACATTCCTAACTGTTGGTGTCGTGTATCGATTTTGACATTATTAGAACGTCATAGTTTTAGAATTTTCAAGATCAACCATGTTTTGATTGTAAAACTACGTTGCATTAATTTTTATTATTATTATGATCAGTAAAGATACTGTTTAAATCCTATTATTTTGAGTATTTTCTTAGAAATAGCCATTAAGAAGAGGATTAAATATTGTTATAAATGAGGACGGATTATGTACTGAATTTTACTGTTATTAGGAAGAAAGTCAGCACTTTCTTAATTGCAGAATAGTGCATTACAATTTAATGCTTTTAAGAATAAAATAAGTTTGTCTCACTTGTGAAAAGTGTTTTAATTTTTAATATTATTAAGAATAGATAAGATTTGTCATGATGCAAATTGTATAGTTTCTAAGTATTATTTTCTAAGGAAGAAAAAAGATTGTCTTGAAAAATCTTGTTATAAAATTGCGAGAGGAAGTTTTAATGAACTTTAAGATTGCAAAGATGAATTCTTTAAATGGGAAAAGTACTACATCGTGTAAGGAAATGTTCTTTAAACTTAAGAACTTCTACTAATTCATTATGAGATATTGAGGGAAGATTCCAACATTAGAATGAAATGGAGAACTTTGCTTTAAATCTGACAATGTTTGGGGGCAAGCGAAAAGGCTTAAAGATCAAAAGCCGACTCGATATCTCAAACATTAACCCTAACAGAAAGTTGGTAGTTAAATAACTAAAAATGAAGATCGTCGAATAGAAGTATACAAAAGCATTGGCTTCTAAAGACATTCAAATTAAAGCCATCAAAATTATGTACCAGTTTTATCCAGCAATAACTAAGACCTTATGAGAATGAAAAAGATTTAAGAACTCTTTCAGTAATTGCATAGTTCGGGAGAGTGGCCTGCCTGGAAATGCGGTATTTGTATGCTATTTTTGCTTTTGTTTCTATAATTAGAAATGTTTATAAAGAGCCTTTACTTTTCATAAACAAATATCTAAAAATTCGAAAATATTAAATGGATATTTTGCCCAGAAAGATCCCCAATATTTTTCTGATTGGTTACACCAACGCGTTCACAGTGCATGTTCAAAGTTTAAGATTAACTTCTTAAAATTGGAAAGCTGAAGAAAACAACATTCTTATTCTTAGTTTTCAATATAAGTCCTTGTAATTCTACACAAAGCTTGGCACATTCTTAAAGCTACTTGATTGCTTCGCGGAACTCTTCTTTCGGAATACAGTACAAGTCTTTAGTTATGGTTTTCTGAGTCTCTTTAATAATATTACAGTAATGACTTCTTAGGTCAGATTTCGATTTAAGTAAGAGAAAATAATCTTCAGATGCCAAATTTGGTGAATAAATTAAGTCAAAAGTCGTCTCATTAAGTTTTCACATAATACGGAGTTCACTGTCTGTCCCTCAGAAGCAAATTCCTTATTAATAATTAGCAAATTCCTTCTTATCAAAAACATGCATTAGCAAGAGCTTTACTACAGATTTCTGTAACTGAAATTTTTGTTACCATGGTGAAATTTCTCTAACCAAAGCAGATGTTTGACGTTATAAATCAGGATAAAAAAAAGCACCAAATTTCATTTTCAGTCAAATTTGTTAAAAAAAAATAAGAGTCTGTCATTCGAATCAAATCATGACATGTAGTAATTTGATCTTCTTTCTTTCAGTCACTGCGTTAGAGAAAAAAGAACACTTTTTTTTTTCAAGCCTTTCCACGACAACTTTATAAGCAGTGTCTTTAGTGATACTAATTTCATCAACTGTCATTCGAAAAGACAAGTGACAATTTTTTAGCAGCAAAGGTGGAAATCTTTCAATGTTTTCAGCGAAACTGCGAAAAGCAACCACTCCTATGCTTGATTTCCGTACGCTTTACACATTTTTAATATATATATATTTTTCGTGTTACAGCAAAGCGTTCTTGTTATTCTTTCAACGTTCATTCCATACTTTGAATCCATGACATCACATCAGATGTTCACTAGATCAAAGGATTAACTGTCTAGAAAATTCTACCCGTAAGCAAATGATATTTAAGAGAAAATAAACTGAAATGATATAGTAGTAGTAAATGCTTCGATAGGACATTTTCTGAAATTCGATAATTTTTTAAAATTAGTATTAAACATTATAGACAACAACAACAACAAAACAAAACAAAAACAAAAAACAAAAAAAACTGTTTCAGATTTTAAATTACGTCCAAAGGGGCGTTTTTTAACGTTTTGTGTGTTACCTTTACTTATTAAATATCATATTCCATATTCTGCGTACTCAAACCATAAAATTCAGGTCAACAGCAATATCCCAAAATAATTTAAAAATGAGCATATCTTTAGAATTTCCCATACAGAGTCTCGCGCACTGGAGACAAAAATATTTTTTTTCCGTACAGTGTTGCCATTGTTCGCTTTGAAATAAAATATTCAATCAAAAATTCGTCGAAATGTTACAAAATATGATATCGATAATAAAACATATTTCAAATTCAAATTAGGGCATTCTATGAAAGATTATGTTATTCAAATTTTGATGGCTCTTTTTTTCTACCGTTTTTTTATCACAATGCGAGAAACTTACATACATTCATGCAGATTCTTTGTTATTTAATTTCCTTAAATATAATACATGGTGATAATATTTGGTGGCAACAAATTAAAAAGTGATTCACCGTTTATAGTTTTCAACGCAAAATGCCAAAACGAAATTAATAGCCTTTCAGAGCAAATTTCCCCTCTGGACTAAAAAAAAAAAATCTTAACTGAAATTCCAGATTTTCCAAAATACTGGACGTAGTTATTTAGAAGCAGATAGCGTATATGGAAAGAACATAGAAAACTACTGTTTAAGACACTTCAAGTATGCCTAGTAAAAATTAATGTAACATATTTTAAAATACCTTTCCAAAGGACACTGCATTTGTGAAGCTAGTAGCAAGATCGAGTACCTTTATTATCTGCAGGAATTTTTAGCATAATACGAAAAAATTGATTTATCATCTACGAGTACTATCGAAGGTTGCATCAAATGTTGGCTAAATTGAAGCTAACATTTTTAATAAAATTTGATAAATTTCTGAAAACAATTGATTCTAGTGTACTTCTTTGAATTTTCTAATGACTGCTGTGCTCCCATGTCATTTATAAGATCATTAATATTGCCAGTGAGGGCATATAATAACACTCATATAACCATAATATAATAACCATATTCGCGTAATAATGGCTTCAGATTCCCTTTGCGGCGTTAACCGTACGCTTTTCTTGAAGAAAAATATTTTCCCGAACTACAGAAGATATTTCTACTAAGCTCAATTTGTGCAAAACTATTTGATTTTCAAGATCTTCTGGATGTCAAAAATCACTGAAATTCAAATTACGAATCTTCCGCTTCCCAACTAGACATGCTAATTACTTACACCTTGAGAGCACGCACGGAAGATGTGATAATTCTCTTCAGATTCTGTTTTAATTATCAAATAGGACTGAAAATTTTTCTAAACGCGGGTAATTCAGAAACGTTATTGTATATTTTTTTCCTTCTTAAAAAATAAAATATCTCAAACTTCTTCTTTATGTTAGACATGTGTTCTTTATGTTAGACTTCTGTTCTACTTCAATTTTCAAATATCTACCTTTCTCCTATATTTAGGTTGGTACACCAAGCAATGTTTCCAAAGAGATGATATTAGACGCTGCGAGGGTTTGCTCCCAGCGCGAGGTTTTTCCACCGATGATTCGTCTTGCAGGTAAACGATTTTTAATTGAGCTTGAATATTTTCTTTTTAGTACTGAAATTGCGTTTAATTTGTTTTTTTATCATAACTTTAAACAATCTTACTAATCATGTGATATCATTAAAGAAATTTTAAGGTTAAATAACATTCAAATTTAGATTGGTGTTAATTTCAGAGATATGTTCTGCATTCAATATTATGTGAATTTATTTTCGTCTACCATCAACAGACTGAAGAACGTTGCAGGTGCAAATTAAAGAATATTCCTGAATTTTCTACAGTTTCGTAGAAGTTCCGTTTTAATTGGAGGAGATTTTAACGCTAAGCATCAATGCTGGATCAAGGAGCTAGCAATAGAAAAGGACGAGAAATTTTTGACATGATTCAAATTAAAAATTATACCTTTTATGCCTCTGATGAACCTACGCATTATGGTTATAATAGTTCTTCTATTATTGACTTTTTTTTATCTAACAAACTCAACTATAATTGCCAGATTTCTGTTATTCCAGCTCTCTCATCTGACCATAATCCCATTCTTCTTGAAATCAGCATTAATAGTTACGTACCTTCACTGGGCAAGAGTATTAGCGTTACTGTCTGGAAAAAATTCTCACAAATCATTTCAGATACTATTCCTGGAAATCCCAAAATTACCAATGAAGACGATATTGAGTCTGAAATCAAGAAATTTACCACCTTTATTCAACATGCTATCAATTTTTCACCAATAAATTCATCGTCCCATCCTTTTTTTCTTCCTCTTTCCAGCAGCATAAGACAAAAATCAAATGCGAAAATCGTATTAGGAAAACTGTCAAATACAAGGACCCCAGCTAAAACTCACTGAAACGCTTCAACGTGAGATCACAATGACATTATAACTCAAGACGCAACGCTGGCGAAAATTCCTCCTCAACTTTCTCGCAACTGAAGATAATTCTCTTTTTTTTTTTTTTTTTTTTTTTTTTTTTTTTTGACATTGCAAAGAAATTACCCTTCAAGCAAATTATCGTCATGGTACCAAATGATTTTTCAGACGAAGATAAAGCTACTTTTGAAGATATACTAGAAGAAACGTTTACTCCCATACCCCTACGACAACCTCATATCTCCAAAGTTAATGATACTGTTAATTACCTTTCCTAAAAATCCCAGGTCCTTTGAACTTCCTTGCTTCATTGCCATTGTTACATTCCTTGCCACGCCTAAGCTGGTTGCCGATTATTTAGCTCCTTAAAACCCGAAAGCTCCTGTGTTGATGGTATTTCTACCAAGCGTTGAAACATCTTCCTGTCAATGCCATCACTTGTCTTACTAAGATAATCAACTCTATCATCAATTCCTTACTTTCCTAATATATGGAATATGCCATCATCGTCGTCTTCCCAAAACCACATCAAAATTCAACGTTTCCCCAGAACTACCGCCCAATCAGCCTTCTCAGTCAACTTTATAAAATAGTTGAAAAAGTTATTCTGTATCATCTTAATCAAATTATTCTACAGAGCTGCTACATTCCAGACAAACAGTTTGGCTTCCGTCATTTCATAGTAATAATCACCAGCTGCTTCGTGTCATCAACTATATTACTGACGGTTTCAATTGTAAGTTCCCCACCGGAGCCATTTTCCTTGATATTGCGAAAGCTTTTGATAGGGTATGGCACCGGGGACTTATATACAAACTTATCAAGTTAAACTTTCCCGATCATTGTATTAGACTTATTGCTTCCTATCTCCAAGACAGAATCTTTGCAGTGAAAGTTGGCAGTTTTGTTTCTTCCACAAGAAAAATTTTCGTTGGAGTGCCTCAAGGTTCTGTACTTTCTCCATATTTATATAACATTTACATTTATGATATTCCTAAGGACCCACAAATTACCATTGCTCTTTTCGCCGATGATACTGCAATTACGACCCAAGCTTCTACTGTTACTGATGTCCAGCTCCTTCTTCAACACTACTTCAATCATCTAAAAAAATGGTTCACTCTTTGGAGGATTGCAGTTAATACCGAAAAATCAAAAGCAATAATCTTTCGCAAAGGTCAAACAAATTTCATTCCCCCTAGACCTCTTCTGTTTGATGAAGAAATTGACTGGGTTGACGAAGTTAAATATCTAGGAGTCATTCTTGATAAAAAATTGACTTTTCAGAAACATCTCAGAGAAACTGTGGAAAAAAAAATCAATATTACGCTTGCAACTATGCGCCCACTTCTTGGCAGAAGAAGTCATATGTCCGTTTCTAATAAACTCCCCTTATATAAATCTATACTTCGACCAGCATTACTCTATGCTAGTCCTGTCTGGGGCCACGCTGCCAAAACTCACCTTCACCCAAGTTCACCCACGCTGCCACCCAAGTTCTTCAAAACAAAGCACTCAGAGAGATCATCAACGCGCCATGGTTCATTCCAAATTCTTATATTCACCGTGATCTCAAAGTATATACAATTCAAAATTATATTCAAAAACTTGCCAAAAATTTCTTCTATTCAGTTCTCACTCATCCTAACAACTGCATCAACTCTCTTAGATGTTCTCTATTTCCCAGAGAAAGGCACAAATATCCATATGACATTCTCCGCCCTTAACATTTTTTTCTTATACTAGATTCTTCAGTTCACTGATTTGGATCTTCAACTAGATACTCACCTTTTTTTCGACTGATGCGGCCACCGACATTTACTTTCGTTTTGTTTTACTTACTGATGTTCTTTACGTGATACAGAGTAAAAGGAGGCGCTGCTTTCTGAAACTCAAATTCACTATATGTTCTTATTTAGTTGCGTTTTTTTTTTCCCCTGATTTTGAATTGTGTAGTACTTTTTATGGGGACTGAAGCTTGTGAAAAAAACAATGCAGAGATTTTTGCGTTTTTTGCAATGTAACTATTCATCTATTTGTTTGACAAGCATCTGTTCATTATTATACTAAGGAGTTCTGCTGAGTCTTTGGAAGTAGCAATATAGTTCATTTAAAGAAGATAAAGCATTCTATGTGTTTCCAGAGTATCTAGCATATCTCTTCATTTTTCAAAGTTACTGTTCTTTGGTGTTATGCCAAATTTCTTCTCTTAAATGCAAATTAAACTAAATAAACAAACGTATAATGTAACAAGGCAAAGACTTCACTGGTTTCACTAGTTGCAGTATGCGTATTGCAATTATGTCTGTAGCAGTCAAAAAAAATTTTCATTTTGTCATACGGCCTGGTACAAAAGAATTATTTACTCGGAATATTATTTACTCGGAAAAGAACAAAAACGTTTCCCGTAGAGTCCATTCCATAATCAAAATATGCATTAACTATTACAATATGTGAAATTTTATTGTGCAGCCAGTAAATATTCCCAATGTTATGACAAGTATAAAGCTCTGTAACTTCAAATCTTCAAATATCTATACTTCAAATCTTTTCATTGAACCTCCTTAATTGCATGTTTACAAGCATTCCTCTTCCCCTTTTGTAAACTCAGTGCTCTGCATATCCAACCATCGAAGAGAATTTGTAGAAACGTTCTGGAAAATGCGTAGTTCTGACAGTATAATATATATATATATATAAGCAGCTTAAAGATGTTGAAATTGGTGTTCATGTAATTGTGGTACTGTAGTATATAATATAATAACGGCTACACAGTATAATGATGATGCATTAATAATGCAAGTATAGATACTGTATGTTCTATCTTTTATAAACTTAAGTTCAATAGCATAAGTTTATAAAAAGTAAAATTAGCCAGTAGTACTTATACGTCATACAAGTTAGCATATTATGCAGTAGGTAAAGTTACGGTCTACGAACAATAGAAGTAAAAGCTAAATGAATGAGAGAGTTAAACGCTTTAGTGCAGTGATTCTCAACCACTGTGCCGCGGCACTTTTGTGTGCCGCCAAATTCTTAAAGTGTACCTCCAAGTTTTAGAAATATATATAGTAAAAATTGTAATGGGTTTAATCCTAGTATACAGTACTCATGAGAATTGGAAAAATTCGGTTTTTAAGACATTAATAAGCGCGCCAGTTGTGGTATCCAACCCAATTTTTTGTGCCGAATACGTTTGTATTTGAATTAACTTTGAATGAAGAGGAAGAAGTAATTTCGCTTTATAATAATCGAGATTTAATTTTAAAATATTCAGAAGAACCAATTGATTCATTTTGGAATAACATTAGATGCGATTATACCACGATGGCCAAAAAACTTTAAAAATATTATTACAGTTTTCTACATCTTATATGTGTGAATTCGGATTTTCAGTATTAACCAACATAAAAACGGTAAAACGATCGAGACTGTTAAATGTAGAAGACGATATGAGAGTAGCATTGTCATTTTTACGACCAAATATAAATGAAATTATCAAATAACATCAATCTCAAAATTCTCATTAAAAGTATTCTTATTATTAACTTGCAATTAATCCCTTGATAAACGTACTGCTGTTTTTGTAGCACATATTATTTTATTTTACATTCAAAATTATTATAAACTATTTTACACAGGGTTATTATAGGTAAGTAAACACCTTTTAAACTTCTTTTTCTTTATGTGTCGCCAAATTTTGAAATCGTTAAAAGTGTGCCGCGACCAAAAAAAAAAAAAAAAAAAAAAAAAAAAAAAAAAAAAAAAGGGTTGAGAATCACCGCAAACACAAGAGCGAGATTGCGTCTTGACCAAAATTGACAGATGAGTAAAAACAGCAGCATGTTTTTTATGTTTTATTTAGTGTACTTGTTATTTAGTATGCTTTTTGACTCAGCCACTCTTTTATTCACCAGTTGCTTTCGAAGATGGACAGGAGAAATAAATGGGCAATTGAAGACATAATGATTAGATTTCCCAATCCATTAGCACTTACAAAAATCAATAACCTGTTATATGTATCGCGTTAGATACGCTGCAAAAGGTTCATTCTACGAAACGTTGTGTGTGTGAAGAATCTATCCATATCGTCTCGATCTAAGACATGAAAGTGTGAATCCTCTTACTAGTGTTTGACGAATTCCCTCGTTCTTAACAATTGGAGGCAAGAATATGCCGTGATATCGTCTTATGGTGAAAACAGTAAGAGGAAATGAATGCAATGTGTAACTAAAGAAAGAATCGGAAATTTAGCGAACAGATCTGCAATCTCATTTACTAACACATATCAATAAATGCTGGAACGAGATTTTAAAGATCTAATGGAAGAGTGAGAAGTATTTGTGAAATAGGAAGAACATCAAAGAAAGTGACTATTTTAGGTGTTTAATAAAGAATAGATTCTCGAAATGAATGCTTGAAACAATTGCTAGACTGGAGGCCGAAAAGGAAATATAATCAGCCTACAATCATTTTCTTAGCATGTTAATTGAACGAATATTCCTAAGAGAATGAGGCTATTTCTTCCATCAGGATCATAATCACTCTTTGAATAAATATTTCATCATTTGCCCAACGAAGACAGATTTTTAACTAACAAACTAGTTCCAGTTAAGTTCATATGTAGGGCCATTCAATGAACATTAATAACCATGCCAATCAATGAACATTAATAACCTACATATTTTCTTTCAGGAGCTTCTCCAGTTTCCGCGATTGTGTAATACCAATAGTACAGACCAAATGTTCAGCCTCTGAGCAACGACTTCTCGGTACATACTTGATGGTAAAAGGTCAAAACAGAGCGTGGAACTGTCCCAGAACTTCATCTTATTCGAATCCAGCAAGTGCTCCTTTAGCTGCAGATACTAGATATAATTCATTATCCGATTCGTCATGTAGGTTTTCTTTTTTGTTTTTATCTTTTTTCTGTCATCCTAAATTCTGATTAGCAATTATAAATTAGAAGAGGGTTAATCATAACTTTTGTTAGCATTTATATCTTTGCTTCGTTCGGTTTAGATTTGGCACGTGTAATTAGTTCTTTTTATCGATTAACAAAAGCATTCAGGTATAATACGCATTGCTTAAAAAGAAAAGAAAAGAAAAACCTTACTATAAAGATTGATTTTAAATAAAAATGCATGAATAAGGTTTTTTTTTTCCTTTTATGAATAATTTACGCATAAGTACGTATCCCAAGCAGCGACGCGTGTTACATCTGCATTTGTAGCACATGTCTTACCACGTACAATACTGCTACTTTCCGGAACACTTGGCATAGGTTTAAAAAAGTACGCATTCTTCACGTGACACATAATAACTAAGTATTTTTCGATCAGAGAATCATGTTACGTATGGTGCATTCTATATTACTTTCCAAAGTAGAGTTATAACAACGGTCGTTGAAACACTTTCTTTATAGCACATCTTTATTAAAGTACTTTTTGTACCTTTGAGAACATGCAAGCAAGGAAATGCTTTAAATATCACGTATTAATCACGTTATAGCTGGAAAAATATCTCTTGACTGCTTTGGTCGATGAATTTCTGAGACCTGCTTTATAGAACGTCATCAATAGCCTTCTAATCTTTCAGAATAAAATTTTCCTTACCGTTATTACATTTGCATCTATCTGTAAACAATAAAAGCAATAACAATAATGATAAAATTTCAACTTATCTTTTCAGAAACTTCTAGTAGCGTTATACAAAAATGTTGTAGCTGCTCTTCGGTGTGCTATTGACCCTCTCAGGATTGTAATACGAGTATTTAGACATTGCTCATAAAATTCTAGAACATACCAGATTATTTAACTAGAGCATCCATAGCATGTTACAAGGAAATATTTATTGCAAACGCAATCATCTAACATGCTATTGTCTATTTTACATGTGTTACATATAGATGTAATTTAAAACTTTTAGCTTGAATGTTCCACACACGTTCGTTCATATTTGCGTCGAACGTTCTATGGACATTCTTGTGCTAGTTTAACTATAAATATGTTGAATAACAGTAATAAATAAATAATTTTTTTGGATTATTAGTTTCAGCCAGTACATTGATATGATTGTCAACATTTTCTTTAGATCACTATGCTTAGCAGGTATTCAAATTAGTTATTTGCAATAAAATAATTGCGTTGGCAGATCTGTAGCTACCTAATAACTAAATATTTTGCAAGTTTTTGTAAGTCTCTCAGTTTTGTAGCATCTTCGCTATTGAAATTTGAGATCTTTTCGGATCTTCAAGTTTTCAGCATGATAGCAATATAAATAGATAGCATATTGGCGGAAATAATCCTTGTTTAATATTGATACCAATCTCTCACTGTTAGTTACTCTGATAATTAATTGTGTTATCACATCCAAATATTGTCTAACCAAAGTATGTATGTAATTTGCTTGGAAGAGCTTATCTTAATGCAGGGCTTCTTAAACCTTTTTCAGTTGCGACCCCTTTTTATCACTGAGATTTTTTTTGCGACCCGAGGACCCCCATAATATTTACGAAAATTTTGTAGGATTCCATAAGCATTGCCCAAATCCGACACACGCGTGAGTGACGTGAGTGAAACTGTCAATTTTTTCACTTGTACTGTAATATACTATTGCAGTTTTAGGCGTTAACTTTAATTTCTAAAGACATAGAACAGTGTAAAAATTTTAAATAAGTAACAGATGAAATGACAGCGTCACGTGCAAAGCAAGGAAAATGAACGTTAATATTATAAAAAGAATGCGTCGAAACGTTTTCGTTTTTTCTTTGTCTGTATTGTCTTACCTTTATCTATTTTCAGATACATTGTGTAAACATATTTGGTAATTGTAAAATTATTATAATAAGTTAAAGAAAAATCAAAACTGTTAAAATTTTTGGGGACCCTCTGCTGCAGGTCCCGCCACCCACAGTTTAAGAAACTTTGTCCTAATGCATAACAGCCTTAAATCATTAGGAAGCTGGCAGAGCCGTTAGGTACAGTTAAATAAAGTCGTTATTATAGATTATTTTTAAAATGACAGAGAATTTGAGGTTACGATCTCAGGAGGGTCGCTCGAGGAAGATATTTTTAACTGAAATTAGACATATTGTATAAGAGGAAAGTCACGAAAATTCAATACAACTAGTAATCGGTCAACAGAAACCAAATCCGAGGCTGTCATCAATCATTCATTGATAGTTTTACTCGGCCACTAGCTGGCATTTTATAAACTTATAACAAAAATTGAACCTCTGCTAATTTTGAAATAAGTAGCTCTGTCTATGCTGTTTTCTCGTGACGAAAGACAGAACTAGACAGATCAGCTACCTATCGGTAAGTGAGCAGCATATGTTTCCTTGGGAACTATCATGTTATTCGAAAATGAGTGAAAGCGAAGTATTAAACGTATACGAAAACACCAATTAGAAAAATAAAATAATGCATTTTTAACTTTCTGAAATGTTATATTAACATAAGCAACGATTTGAAATAATATGAAGACAAAAAAAAAAAAAAAAAGACTAAGAAAAGGTTTAATTAGTTTAATATTTCATGGGTCAACATGTAATATATTAAGATATTTGCCTAATAAGGTCAAGTCAGGTTATGTGAGTATGGCAGAGCCACAGGGGCTATCTTCTTCAGAGGATGCACTAAACTGGCTTGTATTCAGTTTCAACATGGGGAAAAACACGAAATAAACCATATATCCAGCCTATTCGCATGGCATCGAAGCCAAACTAGGTAGAACTACCAGTATTCCGTGGCTTTAACCTCTCGGCCACTGGTAAGGGCATTTTCCTAATAACACAAATTCACGAACTTTCGGAAATATTTATAAAAGAATTTAAGATTAAAAGAATCATCTAAAGGGTATGGAATGCACAGAGAAAAAATATTAAGAAATAAACGTTAGTATTTTCTAAAAAACATCAAAATAAAAGATGGAAACAATAGACTGCAAAGTATGATAAAATCACCCGAAGAAAATTTATTGATTGCCTATCAAAATATTAACTTTTCATTACATTTAAAATTTGAGATCAGTTACTTATTTAAAACAAGCACACAATGAGTTAGAGCATCATTAAATTTGCCCCTCGCCTTAGATGTTCTTACTCGTAAATTCCCACTAAATGTTTAATTAATGAAATGTATTAATAGACGCTATCCGCAAATATATACATTATTCCAAAAAAATTTAAGATTTCATATTTACAAATCCCCTGCCCAAAAAAATCGAGTTTAAATTAAATTGAATAAAAAATAGTTTTAATATTTCAATTTCTGAAGAAACAGAAGAATTAAAACTTCTCATAAACAAAATTTTAAAAGAACATGCGAATAAAAACTGTCACAATGTATAAAAGCATCAAGCATTAATAATCTCGAATAATATTCTATGATGAGTATGAATTTTAATTTTAGAATGCGTACAGTGGATAGCTAACAAAATCAACACTACACGTCATATCAGCACGCACTCATAGCATCTCCGTTTTCGTCTGATGTAAATGCGATTGGTTCTCGATAAGCCATCTACTGTTTTTATGAACAATATAATCAGCTGAAACAATAACAGATTGTGATAATTACCTGCATGAAGTCTGTAAGCGCTCATAAAGAGCTTCCGGTAGAATTGGCGGGCCTAACAAAACAGTAGAATACCTTTTTACGAAACTCAAAAACGAAGATGATCGAATATCGATTGTTTAATAAATAAAGAAGCACCAGTTCCTTTAGTATTCCACAGGCGCAACTTTGGTGGGATTTCAACCAACTTTCGTGGTTCGATGGTAACCAACTTTCGCGATCGGTGGGATAAGTACTAAATCTTTATTTCAAAATTTTAGTCTTTTCAAAATGTTCTGTTATTCTCCGTTTCTTCGACTATGGGCACTGTGTCGCTTATTCTGCCTAATAGGTAACATGGCTACGCTCCTGAGAGCAGGCTCTGCTCACTAGTAGCAGAGTAGTTAAAACTATTGAATACTGGCAAACTGACCTGGTTTGTATTCGATCCTAGGCGAACTGCCTCGTTATATGATTGGTTTTCTCGATGTGTAACATGAATAAGAGCCAGTTTCTCCAAGAAAGTCCTTCACAAAGGTAACCCTCTTCTTAGACGAAATAGCCTTAGGTCATCTTCATGTACCTAACTTGAAAAGAAACAATTTTTCTGAATCATTGTCTAAGAAAATATGAAAGATTTGAATATACATAATAACATACACTTGAGTTTAAAATTTTAGCAATTTCTTAGCAATGAAATTTTAAATTCACATTGCTAAGAAAATATACGCAAATAAGTAAACAAACAAAATTACAAAAGGGAAAATTCTGCAAATTTCGTTCATGGAAAACTCCAGAAGATAATGTTCTTCCCCTTTCTGTCTTGCTTACAAATTGCAATGCATTTGTAACCAATGTCCCTTAGAGCGAAAAGAAATTCGAAAGCTACAGTTATTACTTCCTCTGCAGATAACATTTCATTACATAAATGTCACAAATAAATATCATTGTAATTTGAAACTGAACAAAATTACTTCCCTTCGCTCCTTTCTCCCCATTGTCTGTGAAAGGGAAAAGGAGCTGTGAGTCAGGAAAATTCTGATTTTTTTTTTTTTTTTTTTTTTTCTCCATCTAGAATGAAAATTTTGACCTTGCAGCTAAAGTAGTTTGCCTAATCCTTACGACGTGTATCTCAACATTAATCGAGGAAATATGCCAAACATTTTATATTACGCAGTTTTGAAAGATAGAATTTGTAGTATATAAATTCTAAACTATTCATCAAATAATCAAGTTAATTGCAGCAAAATCGAAACCGTATTTCCTCTTATATTTTTTCCTGGTCTAACTAAAATACTCGGAGAACAGATCGATGCGAAAGTAGTAGAAGTATAAAAAGT